ACATAAATGCTCAGGTTTCCATCTCCTCTTTTGAAACAATGTGCCCTCTCAAGTATCAAATCAATACTCTTGTTCTAGGCTCCCAGCCAAATCTCCACCACACATTGTGCTAACTAGACGTTCTTTTTGTTGATCAAGCAAGCATCTCTAGGGACAACTTGTGTAACAGCCATTCACAGAAGATACGGATGCCTTCAATTATTGGGATTTCTCCCTAGCTAAGATTAACACAGGGTAGGAATTTTGAATGAGAGAGGCGAAGGCAGAGGGGAAGGGAGTGATTTCAGAATTTGTTGCTTTGGGAGAAAGAAAGATCTAGAAAAAGCATCATGACCAGAGTGGAGCAGGGGTAGCGTTGAACAGTAAGAGGGCAACAGGGTCCCTGAGCAGCCAGTGCTGGGAGTTAATTTGGGGACAGGGGATGGGGATATAGAATGGAAAGGAATATCAGAAAGCATGTTACAGAGCCGGTGGTTTTGTCAAGTTCAGCAACACTCTTGTGTAGTTCACAGGCTGGCACCTGCTCTGGTAAGTGGAGACTCACTCTCCTGCCACTCTAGTCAGGTTGTTTGCTGCTGGGAGAAGGGCCTGGGAGCTCCTCTGGACGGGATGCTCAGGATCTAATTTCCTTGGTGGAATAGCTGGTTCCGGCTAAGCTGTGTCGGATGGAATGCAGGGAATTCCCAAGAGGAAGGGCGGAAGCTGAGGGACCCCAGGGCACTGGCAAGGGAGATGTGGCAGCAGTGCTGACCCTCTGCTCTCTGTTCCAAGGGGCTCAAATCCTTCACAGGGTGGTCATCCATTTAACCTCACTGTAGCCCAAGGTGAACTTCCCCAAGGACAAAAAGAAAAAAAGACAGCAATAAGATAGAAGCTTGTCTTATTTGCATTCACAACACTGGCTCTGGCCTTTCACCAAAACCTAGCAGCCCAGCCCAAGCCACGCCCAGTGCTTCCCAGTGCTGACCTGCTGGCACCTGCAAATGCAAACTCAGACACTTTTCCTGGTCTCCCACAGGCCATGCTGCCTCTGGGCTAAGGAATCTGTTCCCTTCCCTCCCAAAGCCTTGCAAAAGGAATAGGAGAACCCCTGGTGCATCAGGTGGACAAAGCCAATTCTGTGACCAGGTGTTAACGTCTATAAACAAAGATTCAGGGAGGAGGAGGGGGGTGGGCCGGGGCCTCAATCCACTTGCTCAGTTCCCTGCCTCTCTGTGCTAGGGCTTCAGAGAAGACGCACTGAGATGCTGGTCATCACCCTGCTCATTAGCTAAAAATTAAGTAATGACCACTTGACTCAGTCAAAATGGTGGGTCCAACTGTGCTTTTGGAAATCACCATGTTCACACACACACACACCCCTTTGTTCTCTTGTATAAACGTGAAATATTCAAACACTGTAAGTACCGATCCTGGTAAATACTCTCAGTCATGAATGAAACAAATCCCATAGGAACAACTCTTACGTGATAAGATAAACCTTGAAAATGAAAATTAAAAAATTAAAATTAAAAATTAAAAAAAAGAAAGAAAAATAAAATTCAGGGAAGGCTGCAGAAGACCAAGCCAGAATCGTCCTCTGGTACAAATGTGGGTTTGCAGAAGCTAAAACTGTCTGAGTTTTGGTTGGGTATTTCCTCTTCAAATCTCTTTCATACACCCAAGGTCAGTGGTCAGCAAACTCATTAGTCAACAGAGCCAAATATCAACAGTACGATTGAAATTTCTTTTGAGAGCCAAATTTTTTAAACTTAAACTTATTCTAAGGCCACTTCTTCAAAATAGACTCGTCCAGTCCATGGTATTTTGTGGAAGAGCCACACTCAAGGGGCCAAAGAGTCGCATGTGGCTCGCGAGCTGCAGTTTGCCAACCACGGCCCTAGGCTTACAATTTAGAACTTCAGTTAAATTTGGAGTGTTCAAACTGGTAGTTCTGATGATCAAATAACTAAGGTTCTAAATGAACAGGAGAAGAGATGTTATTCAACCCAGTGAAACTCTGCCTTTCAAACTTGAATTTTGATTCACTGCCATCATTATCAAGATGGCCACTTTTAATCTCTGTCCCCTGAGCTGCCATTTTTTTGGGGGGGAAATGACCTCTTCCTTATCTCAAGGCATTCTTCTCCTCCCTTTAGGTTATTAGGATCCCCAGCCAACAACGAGGTGTTGAAGGCGAGGATATGGGCATAACTGTGAGGCTATATGATCATGGTTTGCTCCCACCCAATGTATTCACATAGGGAAGCATTTCACACTCACTCAGCTTTCACTGTCAGAAACTTTACTTCAGCCCTGGCTGGTGTGGTTAGTTGGTTAGGTGTTGTCTCATTCACCAAAAGGTTTCAGGTTGATTCTCAGTCAGAGCACATGCCCAGATTGTGGGCTGGTCTCCAGTAGGGGGCGTGCAGGAGGCAGTCCATCAATGTTTTGCTCATACTGATGTTTCTCTCTCTCTCTCTCTCTCTCTCTCTCTCTCTCTCTCTCTCTCTCTCTCAAAATCAATATTGCTTTTTGTTAAGAAAAACTTTACTTCAAATATCAAAGTTTGTTTAATGACTTGGAAAAGAGTGAGCTTTTTGGATTAAGTTTTGGTTGACTCAGAGGAATAGATCAGAGGACAGGGCTGTGGGAAGAGGAATCAATTAAGTATTTAGTTGCCCTCTCTTTTTAAAATGACAGCAAATGGTTTATCTTTCCTAGAATTGGCCCTATAAAAGGGAAGAGCTAAAAAAATAATAATAATTAAAGGAGAAGCTAATATTTTAAATAACATTCCCTGCCTGTATTTAAATGTGAGAATACTCATTAAAGTTGGGTACATGCTGTTTTACTAAATTCTAAAAAATTCAATATAGTTGTAGAATTTCCAATGCAACATGATGCACTCAAACTATAATAAAAGTGAAGAGCTGCAAAACTCTATGCTACATCGGGAAACAGTAACATATTTGGGCCATGAACATATTATCACCAACTGTTCATTGTTTTCTGATGTGTTCATTGTCAGCACACACCCTGACGTTGAGCCAAAGAAATGACTGCGGAATCACTCCGTGAATATGCAGAGACCACCCCCAATTACTTTAGAAGCCCCTGAGGAAAAAAATTGCCTTGATCTTCTTTTATAGCTAACCTTCCCCTAGCCCCACAAGGCAAGCTACATAATAGATATTCAATAAATAATCCATCATTGACTCATGTCTCATCTTCACCAATGGGTCTGGGAGAGAAACAGCAAACAAGTGTTAAAACATTTCACACTGTAATTCATCCGTTGAGAAATTACGGTGTGTGTGTATGTGTATGTATATGTGGGGGGGGGGGCGGGTTGCACAAGTATGGGGGTCACGCTGATAAAGGGGGGGGAACTGGTGTGAGAAGATGACTTCACTTAACATACACACTTCATTTTTGCCAGAGGTGACAAACATTTTCTAAAATCAAGGCTTACTATATTGCTTCTCTTTGTTTCCCCATTAACACAGCAGAGGGAGTCCAATCCATCTTGACAATCTATTCAACATGTGAAGGTGTTTTCCCTTTTCCTTTTACCCTTTGGACATAATCCACTTGGTCCCCATCTCCAAGCCCAGGGCGGGTGGGGGGGCGGGGGGTGGGGCACTCTGGAAAGCCCTCGCTGAGATACTTAGCGGAACTTTGCTGTGCATTTGGGCTATTTGGGAGCGTCTGTGTTTCCTCGGGTGACTTCACCGCCTCCCAGGCTCTTCTCACTTTGCGAACAGGAAACCAGGGTGACGAGAGTCTCCGGCGGTCCAGGCGCCGCTGACCATGGTGCTGGCCTCCAGCTCGGGACGCGGGCGCCGAGAGAGCCGGAGCAGGTGCGGTGGAGAGCGCACTGGGCTCAGAGGCAGCAGCGGTCCAAGCCCCCCACCACCATCCCCACTCAAGCCCCGCCCGACCCCCGGGGATCCCGCGGGCCTCTACCCGGAGCCTCCGCAGCTGCATCAAAAAAAAAAAAAAAAAAAAAAGGGTGGGACACCCAGCCACAGCTGCAACGGGGAGCCGCCCGGGAGGGTCTAAGAAGAATGGAACCGCCGCCCATCCCCACGCCCCTCGTTGCGACCCCACCCCACCCCACTCCCCAGCCGAGGATCGGCCCATCCTTCCCCCCTTCATCCCCCAGACCCGGATCGGCTCTGGCAGCCTTTGTGGGCGCAGCCGCCCCGGCGCCCAGCCGGAGCCCCTCCGCACCCTTGGAGACGGGTAGAGCAGGGTGGGGTGCTGCTGGCATAGAGCCGGGGCGGGGCAGGGCGGTGGGCACTCTGGGAGGCGAGGGAGGGACGGTCCCCGAGCCCCGGCCCCCTCCTCCGGCCTCCCCTCCCCCACACCCACCTGGTCGTAGACGTTCTGCAGGGCTTCCTTGCCCGAGGCCCTCCGGATCTCCACCTTCCGGCCCGATTCAACAGATGGCCCCCCGCCGGCGCGCCGGCCCTGCCGGGAGTACGGCGGCTGCGGGTCCGGGCCCAGGTGGGCGACGTCCCGCTGCTGGGCCACCACCTGCCCCGAGCCCCTGCCCACCGACAGCGAGTCGAAGTCGATGGTCTTGTTCTCCGAGGAGCCTTCCACCGGGCAGAACATGCCGCAGAATTTCTGCCGGGGCTTGGGGCTCCCCGAGCCCAGGTTCTTGAAAAAGGCAGGGACCTCCTCGTCCTCCGCCGCCTTCCCGGGCTGCTTCCTCTCGGCCATGGCGCGGGGCTCGGGAGGGTCCCTCGTTCCGTCCGCCCTGCTGCGGCCCCCGGGTCCGCCTCTGCCGAGCACAGCCCCCGGCCGCCGCTCTGCTCGCCGCAAGGTGCACAGTAAGGAAGAGGCTGCGAGCCGGCGACCCTCCCGCCGCCCCTCCTCCCGACCCGCCGGCTCCCCTGCCCACGCCCCCGCCCCGCCCGGGAGCTCCGCGAGCTGCAAAGTTGGGTTTGGCTGGGCGGCCGCTGCGGCAGCGGGGGGGGAGCCTGCCCGTTCCCGGCAGCGGCGGGCGGGGGGCGGGGCGGGGCGCGGGGATAGGAGGCGGAGCGCTGCGGAGGGAGGGGGGAGGCGGCGAGGGAGGACGCGCTCCGGAAGTGAAGCAGCCAGACCATCGGCTCCTGGCTGCGGAGCGGACGGTCTGCTGACCGCTCTCGGCTCCGGGTGAGTATGGGGTGGGCGCGCGGGGATGGAGACCCGAGGGCGCAGCCCCTGGCCAACGCGCCCTCCCCCCTCCTCCACCTGCCCGGCCCCGCGCCCCCCGCTCCCGCATTGCGCATTGCGGAGGTGGGCCAGGGGCGAGGACCCCCGGCGGGGAGGGCCCCTGCCCGCTTCCCCGGGGGCGAGCTGATGGTGCGCAAAGGGGGGCAAACTGGGCGGCGGCCAGGATACCCGGGGAGAGAGGAAGGGGCCTCAGTGAGGATGGAGAAGGGATGGCACAGGCCTCGCGGAGGCGGGGGCTGCACGACCCCTGGGCCAGCAGAGCTTCAGTCCACCCACAGGCTTTGGGAGTCCACCCGCTTGGTTTATCCACTGAGGTTGGGGGAGGGGGGGGAAACTGGGGGCGCACAGCATGGCCGAGAGAAATGCGGAGACGTAGCAGATGATGGGGGGATGGGCGGGTGGTATAAAAAGAGACGTAGATCTACGGGCCCTTGAGAATATAACCAAGAATGCAGTCTGCGAATTCCAGCCCATCAGGACAATTAATATTTGGTGAGTGAGGGTGTAGGCAGGGCGCGGGGGAAGGGGAGAAGAGAAGGGGGTGCCATATACTGCTAACTGCGCCACTGCGTCACAAGGCGCAGGGGGGTGTTTTGAAATGGTATGAAAAAGGGCAGGGGAGTGTTTTGAAATGGTATGATATGAAAAGGCGCAAATTGTAGCCCCATCTCTAAAGCGCCAGACCTCCCCGGCCCGGTACCCCCACCCTGTTGCGCACTGCGCCAGAGCCGGGTGCTGGAGGCCTCAGTGCGGGGCGCGTGCCCAGAGGGGGGAGGAGATGGGGTGCCGGCTGTGATGAGTGCTTTGAATTGCGGGTGGCGAAGCAGGCTAAAGATGTGTGAGGATTTGGGCCACTAACGCGGCCCCGGATGGATTCTCCATTGCTCGCTCGCATCCCCATGTTTTCCCCTGTATCCACATCAATCCCTCCATCAAGCCCCGCCCCTCCCTACGGTGGCAAAATGCTGCAGAGATGTTGCTCATCCTTTGCGGCTCAAGAGGGAGGTCTGCGCATGCTCAGGCATTAGGATGGGTTTGGGTTAAGAGAGGCTGATTACTGCAAGTCATCATGCTGGACAGTGGGACCAGGGATTCTTTCCCATCTTCAGCCCTTGCCCCTGGAAGGATTAAATGGGGATACTCTCACCCCCACCCCCCACCCCCAATTGTGAAAGGAGTTAAATTTGGAGGACTACCCATTAGTTACAGGTTGAGCCCATCATGACGCAGGTAGGGAGATGAGAAGGGGAGGAAGAGGAAAGAGGAATACTGTGAGGGCTGAGATAAGCAGAAGCCGGCATTCGGACCTCAAACCAGATGTGCTTTCCATCTGAATAAAGTGCTTCCACACGAATTGCGTCATTTTCTACTCACTGCAGCCCGGAAGACGAGTGTGATGAGTGCATTGAGCGCTTTACCGTCGAGGTTTTCCAGGGTAAAAGGAGACTGAGGTTTAGAGAGATTGAGGCTCTTTGCCCACTATCTAATTCAATGATCCAACAAATCCAATGGGGCTCTTCCACCTGAAAGTCTGGTTCCTTTTCCAACTAATTCTATCTTTATGTTAGAATATGTATGATTTCCCCTTCCTCCCCCTCCCAACCAAATATTTCAATCCGTGTATCAAGAACCATGGTTCAGTTGCCATCTTTGTATTTGAAAGTCACCTTGCAGGGAGAGACTACCTTTGGAGGAAGAAGCCACCCAGAGTATCCTGACCTCAGCAGAGCAGTTACTACGCACACCTTGAAGATATTTCTTCCTGGCATTGGGGGTGCCTTGAAGTATTACAGCGAAGAGGAAGTCTCCCTCATATGTTAGTGGGGCATAGACAGGTCACCGGACTCAGATCCCTGGGGTTGCTGGGCCAGGGTGTGATCCATCTCTTTGTCCTCCTTGCCCCGGGCATGCACCATGCCTTCAGAGCCATGCAGAGGGACAGGGGAAAGGTGCCTGCAGCTGGAGCAGCTGCCTCAATGGTTACAAGTTGGCATCTGTGGCATAGAAAGCCCTTTAGGCGAGATGGAGATTTTCAGGCTTCGGGAGGGAGTGGTCAGGGCCCCAACTCCCACCCCACAGCAGTAAGTTGAGATGTTAGGCACTCTTTTCACATTACCCATTCTCCACTGGTTCTCTTTTCCTTTTTCTTCAAAGGACCCCAATTCAAGTTCAAATGTTAGGAAGAAAGTGTCCTGTTAGAACTTAACATTCAAAGCATAAGAAACAACTCCTTTTGCATTTGCAAAGCCTGGCCAGACATAACAGAAGAGAATAAATTCATAATTCCAGGTTTAACTTATTCAGCCCTGAGATTTTTTTTAAATATATTTTTATTAATTTCAGAGAAAGAAAGGGAGAAGGAAAAAGAAAGAGAAGCATCAATGAGTGAGAATCATTGATCGGCTGCCTCCTGCACGGCCCCCACTGGGGATAAAACCTGCAACCCAGGCGTGTGCCCTGACTGGGAATTGAACCGTGACCTCCTGGTTCATGGGTCAACACTCAATCACAGAGCCACACTGGCCAAGCTCGGCCCTGAGGCTTAAAATTTGTTAGGCCTATATTAAATTGTTATGTCTATATTACCATATTAAAGTGTATTATACGCTATATTGTTATACTGCTATTGGTTTTAAATGTCAGAGTGATTTCTAATTGTATTTTTTAATCAAAGAACTGAAGTAACTACTGTATATTGTTTAGTAGATTTAATTACATTGTGAAGGATTGTCATATTTTTAATAAGCGCATTAACAGATTTTATTATCGGATATTATTGAGCAATGAAAACACACCATTACTATTTATGTGTAACAGGGCAGCTTGGCGTGGCTGGAGCTAAGAAGGACCAAGACGCGAGCATTGTAGAGTTGGGTGATATCTTCCTTTGCTAGAAGCTGAATAAACAAGCTTCTTGACTCCCACAGAATATTCTGGAATCCTAAAAACAGGTATCTGGCCATCTTCTGACTTCATTCTTCACGGGGAAAGGATCTTGAGTCCTGACCACAGCTGGGCTCAGACATTAATGGATATGTCTGATGAGTGAATGGCGGAGAAGTGGGATTGCAGGAGGGTCCCCAAAGGGGGAAAAGTCACTATCAGCAGAGACCTGACCATGGGGTGAACACAAATACAGTGGAGGGTAGAACCCTGCCTGCCCTCACTGCTGCCCGTAATGGGAGTGTGGGTGCTTCCTGGGAAGGAGGGGGCTGTGTGGTAACTGACCATTGTTTCACCACAGAGACCCGTCAGAGAAGGGTCAGCACCGCCACACGTGTGCCAGCATCTGGAGAGACTCAGCAGCTGGGGACCTCCAGAGCCACTGGTTACTGGTCCAGAAGACTTCGGGCTGCTGTTGGGGGGACCTGACCGGAAACCCCTTCCCTGGTGGGCTAGGGATTCGGGGCTTTATCCTTACTTAAAATCCTAAGGGAGTGCCTGCGTGCACTGCTGATTCATTGTACCCCTAGAGTTAGAGCCAGTAGCTGTTGGTGACGATGGCACTGGCGCTGTTGGAGGACTGGTGCCGGATCATGAGTGTGGATGAGCAGAAATCGCTGATGGTGACGGGGATCCCCGTGGGGTGTGAGGAGGCTGAGATCCAGGAGGTTCTCCGGGACACCTTAAAGTCCCTGGGCAGGTACCGGCTGCTGGGCAAGATAGTCAGGAAGCAGGAGAATACCAGCGCTGTCTTGTTGGAACTCCTGGGAGACACTGATGTCTCGGAGATCCCCAGGGAGGTTCAGGGGAAGGGGGGCGTCTGGAAAGTGGTCTTTAAGACCCCTAACCAAGACGCGGAGTTTCTTGAGAGACTGCACCTCTTTCTAGAAAAGGAGGGGCAGACAGTCCGGGGAATGTTCCGAGCCCTCGGGCACGAGGGAGCGTCTCCAGGCGCCGCGCCCAGCCTGTCGCCGGAGCTGCTGGCCCAGGTGGTGGGGCAGGCGGTGGCCCATGCCCCGCAGCCATTGCTGCCCATGCGGTACCGCAAGCTGCGGCTGTTCTCGGGCAACTCCGTGCCCGGCCCAGAGGAGGATTCCTTTGAGGTCTGGCTGTCACAGGCCGAGGAGATAGTCAGGGAGTGGCCGGTGAGCGAGTCCGAGAAGAAAAGGTGGCTGGCGGAGAGCCTGCGCGGCCCCGCCCTGGACTTCCTGCGCATCTTGCAGGCGGACGACCCCTCCGTGAGCGTGCAGGAGAGCGTGGAGGCCTTCCAGCAGGTGTTCGGGAGCCTGGAGAGCCGCCGGGCCTCCCAGGTGAGGTACCTGAAGACCTACCAGGCGGAGGGCGAGAAGGTCTCGGCCTACGTGCTGCGGCTGGAGATGCTGCTGCGCAGGGCGGTGGAGAAGCGCGCCATCCCCAAGAACATCGCCGACCATGTGCGCCTGGAGCAGGTGTTGGCCGGGGCCAGCCTCAGCGAGAGCCTGTGGTGCAGGCTGAGGGAGCTGAGGGACCAGGCGCATTACCCCGGCTTCCTGGAGCTAATGAGGGTGATCCGGGAGGAGGAGGAGGAAGAGGCCGCTTATGAAAACGAAAAGAACGATGAGCACGATGACCCCGACGATGAGTATGGCCACTGGCATAAGGAGCCGATTTACTGAGAGCGAAGGCAGAGCGAGGATGGGGCCGCGGGGACATCCCCTTTACCAGGCTAAGTCAGACCTTTCCCATACGCTTTTCTTTAGTGAATGCAATGAAGACCAAGGCATTCGAGCCAAGTCTTGATTCTTTCTCAGAAAGAATTTACCACCCTCTCCCTCCCACCCCCGCCACGTCTTCCTCCATCAACAGTGGTCTTCCCTGTACCCTCCTACAGCTCTCCCTACCACCCTCCTCTTCTTAATGTCCATAGATTAAGGGACCTGTAGCTTCTCATGGGGTATTTAAATCAGGCCCATGCATGCCCTTGATGTTGAGTGTGCTAGTAGAACGATGGCCACCACTCAGTGAACCGCTAGTTGATGTAGCACAGCATGGTAGCTCTGTGTACAGCAGACTTGCTTAAATCCTCTGAACATCACTTTCTTCGTCAGAAAAAATGAGAAGGTAATGGACGAGGGCTGTTATGTTAAGATCAAATGACATAAGGCCTTTTAAGCACTTAGCATGATGTCTGGAGGATAGAAAGCCCTCAGTACACAGAGACATCATCATCATCGTGATGCTTTTCTGCTTGATGCATGCTCTTTACTGTTCTAACAGTGGTGCCATAGCAAATACATCTGTAACCTGTGAGTCAAGTGGTGAGCACATTGCATTAGAAGCCCTTTTAGCTTTTATGGTAAGTCTGAGTGCCTTGTGTCTGTGAAAAGTATTCTAGCCACTGTGGACTATTCCTAGTGATTTGACTTTGAAACAACATTATAATTCTGATTGTGGACCGTGTTAATGGAAGAATATCTTGAGATTGAAAGAAAATAATTTTTTTTTTTAAAGGGATCATGTCTGATCATTTGCCCAAGTTGTATTTTTCAATACTGTTCAACCACAGTGGCACGATATCACCCAGTGCATCCTGATTTCCTGTGATTTTGTACTCGTGACAATGCCCTCCCTGTTTCCATTTGTTGACAATATGTGAAATAAAATGTTATAAATGTGAAGTTATAAAATAAAGGCATACTAATAAAACTTGAAGTCTTTTCTGTTCCATGCAGTGTGGTTTTGTTTAAGCTATGACTTGAAGGAGTTTTACTAGTATTGGTAAAAGCAAAATGTTGGTAGGCAAGATTAGAAAAGCATTCCGAAGCCAAAAGGTCTTAAACTCTTCTAGACATACAAGCCTGAGAACAAAATCCTGGAACATGAATGCTTGGGCTTTGTCTCCGGGGATGAGAGGGCTCAGTCCACCCATCTCTGATTTCTCTTTAAAATACAAGAAGTGACAGATGGAGGCCAGGTCCCTCAGAGACCTCCGACTCATTTGCTCAGGCAATTAACTCAGACCACTCACCAGCCTCTGTTCTGCCAACAGCAAAATGACCGAACGCTGAAATATTGCATTTCTTGGATGAAGTCATTTTCTACTATATATGTGTGCAGGGTGAAAATTTCCTCTCAGCTTTGGTCCTTTTGAAAATGTTTCTCTCTTTTTTTCTACAGTGCAATGGGGGAGGTTCCTCATTGGGCTGTACACGGTAAAGATCGACCCATTATCAGGCGAGTGTCCTGATGCTTACCCAGTACCCTCTCCCAATGACTTCAGCAACAACCTCCTAGGAGACTGGTCTCACCTTGTACTAAACATCTCCAGTGCTGACCCTCAGAGACAGGCCTCCAAGATTGCATAGCCCACTGCTGCGATAGCTTTTCACCCAAGCCATCAGCCTCTTCAGGCCTCAAGCATCACCTGACATTTCCACCTGTATCTACCAGTCCTGCCAAGCCTCTCATCCTCTTTTCTTTTGCTGTCCATCCTCAACGCAAGACTCACTGATCATCAGTTCTCATCTTAACTGTCATGTCCATGCTAACCTGTGCTTCCCGGTGCTGGCCTTGAAGATCCTCTAACACGCCTACCAATATTCAACCCTAAACAAACTTGCCTATATTATCAGCATCCTTGCAGAATACCCTGTCCTCATATTCCTTAATTGACCACTGGCTCTTGTAGTCTGTGGCCCTCAAGTCCCTTGAATGGAAGCTGCCCAGCCTCCCCACCTCAGGAGAGATGGGAGTGATGGTAGCATTTCTTTTAGCTCACCATCATCACCTCCCCATTTGCAAACACATTCGCTCCCTCCTGGCTTATGCTCACCCTCTCTGCCCCACCACCCACTGAGGACCAGTCCTGACAAGCCTTAAAAGAGGGGCCCACTTAGGACTGAATCTGGCTGGGGTCATCTAAAGCAACAAAAAGTAGGAAGAAAAAGATAATAAGGGTGAACCATGTTCAAGAGAGTTCTGCAAGTCCAGACTCAGAAAGCACAGAGTTTTGAAGGGGTGAAACCTGAAAAGAAACACAGAAGTGGAGCAAGAGGCTCTGAGACAATTGTCAGGTGCACTAAAGGTTTGTTGTTGTTGACCAGCAGCATAATCTTTGGATAGTCTCTCCCCTCCCCTTCTTGTTCGGGTGAGCCAGGAACTCCTTGAGTTTGCCCAGGGAGAGGCTGGTTGCAAAGCAGAAGATAGTGCCTGTAGATGGGCTTCTCAGAAGCTAGCCTTCCACTGTAGCTGGCCCTGGAGTGGTCCCTGGCCCGGAGCTGCATTACACAAATGGACACTTCCTTAAAAACTAGGGTAACTCCAGAAGTGTATGTCAAAATCAATTCCTCAGAAGAAAAGAAGGTGTATTATTTCAGTCTCTCAGGACACCAGCTGGAGCTGACATCTAATCATCTGGGCTGTTTTAAGCAGCAGCTGAGACTTTCCCAATCTGCCCCATTCCACTCACCCTTGAAGGGAAAAGTCACCTAAGGGAGGAGTTACCCACACTGGGTGGTGGTGCTGAGGCTGAGAGCCACTGCAGGCAGTCCCCAGGGAAGGCAGGAGAAGCCTACTCCCATCCGGTCCTGTCCCAGATCTGCCCTCTCTGCACCATGTAAAGGCAGACCCACTGAAGGCCTTTCCTGGCTCCTTGGCACAACAGCTAGGCCAACAAACTCAATTACTACACAATAAGGCTTCCTTGAAAGAAGCAGTTGTCACAAAAGTAAACTTCATCTTTTCCAGCTTTATTAAGACACTAGAGTTCTAGTGCACAAAATTCATGCACATGGGGGAGGGGGGTGGAATGTGTCCCCCAGCCCAGCCTGCACCCTCTCCAATCTGGGATCCCTCGAAGAATGTCCAACTGCCCATTTGTCCGACTGTCCAATGGGAAGTCGGATAGCTGGCTCCCAACTGCTCATCTGCCTCCCTGCCTGCCTGGTTGCCCCTAACCACTTCTGCCTGCCAACCTGATTACCCCCTAACCACTTCACTGCCAGCCTAATCAATGCCTAACTGCTCCCCTGCCAGCCTAATTGCCCCTAACTGCCCTCCCCTGCCATCCTGGTCACCCTCACTGCCTTCCCCTACAGTCCTGCCCCCCCCCCCAATTGCCCTCCCCTGCAAGCCTGGTCATCACTTCTACAGGCCTAGTCACTCCCAACGGCCCTCCCCTGCAGGCCTGGTTCCCCCCAACTGCTCTCCCCTTTAGGCCTGGGTTCCCCCAACTGCCCTTCTGCAGGGGCCTGAAGCTGCGGGGATCTCCCTTTTCCATGTCCCGCATGGAAAGAGATGAATGAACCAGTTCTAAATGGAGGTGCCCAGGGATTGAGAAATATTAGAAATAAAGAGAGAAGACATAGAAATAGATTTCAAGCTGGGAGCTGAGAGAGCCGCTGACCTCCTCTGTTGGAGAGACAGAATGACAACCTCCTGAGCCACACAGCACATCTATTTATACTCCAATCCAACAAGGGGTTTCACAGGAAAACAAGGAGCCTGGGAGAGCCCAGGTTCCACCCACTCCTTCCTCCTGAACAAACACATTAGTCAGGAACTAAGAACACATGTCCGCACTCCCAGGGTGGGAGTGCAACTGACAGGATTCTGCCAATATCCTGGGCCCAGTCAACAACAATCTACAAAATGTCGAGGTGGCTTCCCATTTGGCCCTCTACACCCTTCCTTGCAGGCCTAGTCCCTCCTTACTGCCCTCCCATGCTGGGCTGATCGCCCACAACTGCCCTCCCCTGTCGACTATCTTGTGGTGACCATCTTGTGTCCACATGGGGACTGCCATCTATGACCACATGGGGCGGCCATCTTGTGTGTTGGAGTGACTGTCAATTTGCATATTGTACTTTTATTAGATAGGATTATTAGATAGGACTAGAAGCCTGGTGCACATCATTCATGTACTGGGGAATGGAGGCATTCCTCAACCTGGCCAGTGCCCTCTCACAGTCTGGGGCCACTTGGGGGATGTCCGCCTGCTGGCTTAGGTTTGCACAGGCCTAAGCTGCCAGGCAGACATCCCCCAAGGGGTCCTTAGTGCTGCACGGAAGCAAGAGAGGCTCCTGCCACTGTGCTTGCCAGCGGTGATCTAGCTTCTGGCTGAGTGATACTTCCCCTGGGGGAGTGCAGTGACCACCAGGGAGCAGCACCTGCATTGAGTGTCTGCCCCCTTGTGGTCACTGCACATCATAGCAATCAGTGGTTCCACCTTTTGGTCGATTTGCATATTAGCCTTTTATTATCTATTAGAGACCTGGTGCATGAAAATTCATGCACTGGAGGGGGGTCCCTCAGCCTGGCCTGCCCCTTCTCACAGTCCAGGAGCCCTCAGGGACAGGAGGCAACCGAGCAACAGGAAAAGGTGATGCCCCCATTACATCTCTGCTGCTACCACTGCTGCCAGCACAAGCCTCAGCTGGCCCTGGTTACGTGAGATTTGGGCAGTCACCATCCAAGGCTTGCCTGCACCTCAGGCTGACCCTGGGTGGCTGGTGGCTGAGGGTGGGTCTGGCCACACTGTGCCCCTGCTGTCCCCCTCCCTCCCCTTCCTCCATCCCCCCCACCCCCTGGCTAGGATGAAAGGACTATAGGACTCTGGCAAGGCTGAGGGTACTGGGCACTGCATTCTTGGGGGTATGGGCACTGCCATCTTTGTGATGGCATGATGATCAATTTGCATATTCCCTCTTTATTAAATATGATAATAATAAAAGGGTAATATGCTAATTAGATCGAATGTATTCCAGACATCCTTCCTGATGAAGCTGGGGCCAGAGGGAAGCCAGCCCGGGTACCAGGTGCTTGCAAGCAGCTGGAGGGTAGCCAACCTGGGTCCCGGGAGCCTGAGGGCAGCCCTAGGGAAGCCAGCCCAGGTCCCAGGTGCCTGCTGGTAGCTGGAGGATGGAAGCAGCCCAGGTCCCAGGTGCCAGAGGGAAGCTGGTGCCAGCAGCAGGGGGAAGAAAGGCCTACTCTTGCATGAATTTTCATGCATCGGGCCTTTAGTATAGGATAATAATCAAATAAAAATTGTATACGTATTTAAAAGTACAACATGATGTTTTGATGTATACACTACGCTGTGAAATGATTTCCACAATCAAGCTAATTAACATATCCATCACCTCACATAGTTACCTCTGTGTGTGGTGAGAACACTTAAGATCTATTCTCTTGCCTGGCTGGTATGGCTCAGTGGTTGAGTGTTGACCTATGAACCAGGAGGTCACAGTTCGGTTCCCAATCAGGACACATGGCAGCTTGTGGGTTCAATCCGAAGAAAAGGGTGTGCAGGAAGCAGCTGATCAATGATTCTCTCTCATCATTGATGTATCTATCTCTTTCTCACCCTCTTCCTTCCTCTCTGAAATCAATAAAAATATTTTTTTAAAGATCTATTCTCTTAGCAAATCTTAAGTGCACAATCCAATCGTGCTAACTATAGTTATCATGCTGTACATTAGGTCTCCAGAACTTACTCCTCCTGAAA